AAATCGACCTCTTACCCTTATGAAATTTTCGACCAAAAATCAAAATTTTGCAATCCTGTTTTTTGCCCTTATTGGATTGTTTCCGACCTAAGAAGTTTCCCAATAGCGAATATGCAAGTTGTGGGTCGAAAATAAGGAAGATTTCGTCCGTCGAAGATTTCGACCGCTCAAAACCGTCCAAAATAGACAGAAAATGTCGATTATTTGGGAACTGGACAGGCCCCGATGTCTTTTTATTAGTTCATGGCATTCCTTGTGTCTTTCCGATGAAAATTATGTATCAGTCGAGGTATTTTGAGAAACTTGAATTTTTTGGAAAAATCGACCTCTCACTCCTGATAAAATTTTCGACCAGAAATCAAAATTTCGCAATCCTGTTTGTTGCCCTTATTGGATTGTTTCCGACCTAAGAAGTTGCCCAATAGCGAAAATAAGGAAGATATCGTCCGTCGAAGATTGCGACCGCTCAAAACCGTCCAAAATAGACAGAAAATGTTGATTATTTGAGAACTGGAAGGGCTCCGGTGTCTTTTTATTAATTCATTGCATTCCTTGTGTCTTTCCGATGAAAATTATGTATCAGTCGAAGTATTTTGAGAAACTTGAATTTTTTGGAAAAATCGACCTCTTACTATTTAAACTATCCAAGAAAGTGTCTATTTAAAATGTGCAACTCTGACTGGTTTATTGCAGATCGCCAAAACGGATAAGCCCACGTGCCATGGATAAGATGTGGAATGGCCACTCAACCATAACATAGACACCATGATTGTCAACGCGATGGCATCACACTCAGCTACCATAGCGACTCTCCCATCAGCACTCCCCAGCTTGATCCAGAACATCAGCAGCCTCAACCAGAGCAACAACGTCACGTCTCTTGAGAACCTGAACCCGCATTGGACGGACCTGTTGCTGATCATCGTCAAAGGCTTCATCTTCGCCACGATCATCGCCGGCGCCATTCTGGGCAACGCCTTAGTGATCATCAGTGTGCACAGACATCGCAAGCTCAGAGTGATCACTAATTACTATGTGGTGAGCTTGGCAATGGCTGATATGCTGGTGGCGCTGTGCGCGATGACTTTCAACGCCAGCGTCGAACTGACCGGGCACTGGCTGTTTGGCAGCTTCATGTGCGACGTTTGGAACAGCTTCGACGTGTACTTTTCCACCGCCAGCATCCTGCATCTCTGCTGCATCAGTGTGGATCGCTACTATGCGATAGTGCGCCCCTTGGAGTACCCGATCACCATGACCCATCGGACTGTCTGCTTCATGTTGGCCAACGTGTGGCTGCTGCCCGCGCTGATCAGCTTCATGCCCATCTTCCTCGGCTGGTACACCACTGACGACCACCTGCTCTACGCCAGCGCCCATCCGGACGTCTGCATGTTCGTCGTCAACAAGTACTACGCAATCATTTCCAGTTCGATCAGCTTCTGGATACCGGGCACCCTGATGGTGACGATGTACTTTCGCATCTACAAGGAAGCCATCCGGCAGAGGAAGGCGCTGTCGCGCACCTCCTCCAACATCATCCTCAACTCGATCCACCAACATCGAACATCCTACCGCGAACGCTACAGTGATCGGTATAGTGAACAGTATCTCCATCCAGAGGTGGAGCTCACGGTGGGAGAAATCAATGGCGCGAGGAGAAGCACGAGCTCGGGATCAGCAGTGTCGTACGGCACCACCATTACGGAGTTCAACACTTTGATGAATACGCGGGATTGCAGCAAAGCGGCCACCGAACTCAACCTAAATGGTAAGTGAGGTTCTCTGTACTCGACACTTTTGGATGCTTGGGTGTTTGTTGTTGGATTGCCACCAGAAGCCAACGTAAGTGGCTGTTGAGGCTGTGGTGCGTTCAGTAATTTCGGCTGCTGATGATGATCCTTAAAATCGATGATGATCGTCCGCCGTCTTACGAACGGAGGACGAATTGACAGATCTCCAACCAATAGAAACACTTTGGTATCATCGTACAAACGGATGCATGGGAGACGGGCTTTAGAGTATTCGCTACTCACGGTTTCTCTGATTTAGGGTGGTTGCTTGAACCATTCGTTACTTTGTGGCCATTAATTTTGTAACGCTCAAAGGACGATCTTCGATCTTCTTCGGTCACATTCGGTCTTCTGTTGTCTATGAAATTAGAAAAATTGTCGTCGTTTTGTGCGAGCGTGGCGTAAGATTATTGCATTGTTTTCCGTCCCGTTTTTGCTCATATCTCGGAGGCAAAATGAGCAAGATCTTTTTACATCATTCCAAAGAGGAATAAATGGCCTTTTTAGCAAGTGAACCATCGATAAGGAAATGTTGGCAGTTTTCTCAAAAAATGCCTAAATTTAAGAAGTTTTAGGTTTGC